CCTGGTATCACACACTGAGCCCTGACCCTGGTATCACACACTGAGCCCTGACCCTGATCCCACACTGAGTCCTGACCCTGGTATCACACACTGAGCCCTGACCCTGATCCCACACTGAGTCCTGGCCCTGGTATCACACACTGAGCCCTGACCCTGATCCCACACTGAGTCCTGACCCTGGTATCACACACTGAGCCCTTATCCTGGTCCCACACTGAGCCCTGGCCCTGACCCCATGCTGAGCTTCACCCTGTCTTCTGTGGCTCCAGAGGATGATGTGTCCAGGGTGTGGGGAGCCCCCGTGTAAGTTTTACAGCTAACCTAAAAAAGTCCAGTATTCATCACCGTCCTCCCCTGCACCCTCCCCCATGTGTGAGTCAGGGCCCTCCTCAGCCCCACTCCCCTTTCACACCCCCCACACTCCAGTACAGAGGAGCCCCAGGTGCTCAGAGTGATAGTCAGCAGTGAGTGGCCTGGTGCCTGGGAGGCGGCAAGTGGCTGGGGGTGGATGGTTGCTGCGCCGACTCACTGCAGGGTTAGGGGGAGGTGGCAGCGCCGAGCTCGGTTCCCCCAAGTTGGGCTCTACCCTGCCGGATGGCTCCTGGGAGGATATTCAGGGTGCCTCCTTAACCTCCCAGAGACTCCACTCAGATATGGGGCGGGGAGGGGGGCAGGAGTGGAATGAAGTTGGAGCTCTGACCCTCACTCTGGGGTAACAGGGAACCTGAACTTGGGCCTTTGCGGTCATTAGCAAGGGCCTGCGACCTTCATGCAGGGGTTTCAGTGTTTGGTGCCTGTGCTGTGCCTGAGGGTGAGGTTGGGGACCCAAGGCCCCAGCCCCGACTGCCTTTCTGGGCAAGCCTTCGGTGTGGGGCAGACCTGGGCAGCGTGGTGCTATCCAAGGTGCTGAAGGAGAGGCGCCTCCTGCTTCCCCAGGCTCTCCCTCAGTAGGGCTCGCCTCAGGTTTTTCCAGTGGAGGGAGACTTCCCTTTCTCCGGCCTCAGTTTTCTTATCTGGACAGTGAGACCGTGCAGCTATGCCTCTTTTATTACTCCTCTGCCAATGATCCAGGGTTAAATAGGACCAGCGGGACAGTCAGGATACGGGCTGCAGCCCTGTGATGGAGAATTTTACATTTCTGCGTGGTTGGGCTGTGTCCAGACGTGAAGGTGCTCACATGGGATGAGCATTTAAATCAGGTAGCCTATTAAAATGATCCAATGCTAACCTACAGTTCAGCGATTTGAGCCCACCAACTACATCCTGGGAAAAACATGTGGCAGTCAGCTTCAGTAAAAATTAGCCTTGAAAAGTCTCCAGGAACCTTCTACTGTGTCCTACGGGTTCCTTGTGGATTCGAATCTATTCAGTGGCAGTGGACTTCATTATGGAAACTTATGTGAGTGAACCTCCAATCCATTAAAGATCTTAAGAGCAAAAGAGCCCACACAGAGTGTCCATTGGAAACTCCCCCTTTCCCCCCTGCAGTTCTGCCCAGGATAGGCCCTTCTCCCTCATCACAGTTCACTGCTTACCCCAGGCTGACCTTATGAGGTACTGTTTGCCTATAAAGAGGCTCACATCACAGTGTGGATGGCCTGGGAGGCCCTACCATGATGGGGACAGCGGACCTGTGGAACGGTCACCAGTTCTGCACACTTTGCTCACTTCTGGTGAAGCCTGGTCTTAGGGACACTAAGCATCATCACAATGGGGATGTAAGGGGGTGATGGAA